GGGGGGGACACGTTGTCATCTGATGTCTGAGTAGAGACAAAATATCGGCACTGGGGAAAAGGAAGACAGACAGACAGAAACAAGAGAAGAAAAGTATGGAAGAAGGACCTACCAGTGATATCCCTCAACCACACGCTAAACACACTGGCAGTGACAATAGAGAGAAAGCAAAGAAGTAGGACCTACCAGTAGCACTCCACAAACACTGCATTTTAATAGGAATTGGGTCATACTAAGTCCTTGACGCCTAAAAACAATTATTGTGTTGTTTTTCTTGTCTAAAATGTCACACCCCTATTTGACTTAGAAACCCACCTGAGCCGCTTGCTGATTAAAACAATCTGTGAAATACAAATACAGTTTTAGGGACACTTGTATAGACATAAAAACCTTGAATATCTCTCTCTCACTGACAGCATTGAGGGCAAGCTCCACTGGCAACATTGAGGGCAAAAGAGGTAGGTGTAGGCCCAGAGCGATCTACTTGGAGAGTCTAAACAGAAGGGTGGCAGGAAAAGATCAAGATAATGTAGCTTTTTTTAAGGAGTGTCCGAGCGGAGGAATGAATGGAGAACCATGATCGCCGATGTCTGTCGCAAATCTAGCACTTGATGATGATGATGATGATGATGATGATGATGATGATGATGATGATGATGATGATGATGATGATGACGATTTCTTTATATTTAGCCCCTTGACCAGGATCACACTGAGTCACTTCCGTCCTGCCTGGTACCTACATATAGCCTTAAGGGGATCTGTTGTTCAGATAAGAAAAAATATTGAAAAAAATATCGATTTTCGGAGTTTGGAGTATCTCTATAGATAGGAAGTGTCTACGTTCTCTAATGTTCAGTGCTTCCAATTTTCCGCCTTTTTAAAGTTTCCTGTAGACCTCATCTTCCGATCCGATGCCCGCCGCCTCATTGATACCCCCCCCCCCGCCACACACATTTCCGACTCTCTCACTTTCTTCGTTGTAAAAAAAATTAATATAGATCTATGCTGCGTTGCCGTTCCTGAAAAAGTGAAACAGTGCTGTAAGTAAATATCAAGCTTAATCTTCCCTTCTCTGTTGGGAGTTCTGATGGCCGAATGGAATGGACAGCGTGTCTGCGTTTGAAGTCAGAGAGCGTGGGAACGAATCCCGGTCCGGAGAGGTTTTGTTTTTTTCTTCTTCTCCTCCTCCCGACTGACCAACAGCCTTTTCCCCCATAATTATAATTAGTTGCTTTGTATTTTTTTAATGTAGTGATGAAGCACGCACATTCTGGTTTTGTCCACAAGAGGAGCTTTTATCTACAGAGTATACTTTTCCTCTTACAAATTTAGATCTAGGCCTGGTTAAAGTCCAATAGTGGCTTTCCTTGGTCTGTGAGTCTCATTAGATTTTTTATATATTTTAGGCTCAGAGAGGCCAAATTTTATCTCTTCATTTGCAAATTTCCTTCCGACCCCGGGGGCTTCCGGTGGCACCCAGACCCCTGCCAGCTATTATTCGCCCTGGTTGGGGGTCCGGGGGCAAATTGTTGGTCAGTCGGGAGGAGGAGAAGGAATTTTTTTTAAAACAAACCTTCCGAGACCGGGATTCGATGCCACGCTTGGAAGCACTGGACATAAGAGAACGTAGACACTACCATATAGATATCCTTCAAGTATCCATATTTAGAAGCCTAATTTCTCCATCAAACCTATAAATAGCTGGAAATCTGACCAAGTTGCAACACTACTTTCAGTAGATCCCAGAAAGTGTCTGTCAGAATTTACTGTCATATTATAAATCTATAACCTTAAAGAAGCATTTTTTTGCTGTTTATGGTACTCATTTGGTGTTTTAGGCCTTCATTATTTGACAAAATCTTAAAATATTGGAGACCTGAATGTAGCATATAGGTAGAACTGTAAAGCTCCCAAGTACAGAAAATTTAAATTTGACCTGTAAGGTCGTTCTACCTACCAACAGTAATCACCATGCCAAATATTAGGCTTCTATATTGGCGGGTGTTGGTGACTGGCATAAAATAAAATTGTTTTAAAAAATGCGAATCAATCCTTTTGGCTCGAGATTATTATGGCTAAAATCTTGAATTTTTTTTGCTAGGTAACCATTTTTTTACATAGACATGTCACACCCTTTGATTCAGAAAAACAAGCATTAGACCAAAAACTATAACCTTTGGGTGTTGACCATGGCTACACCCCCTTAGGACCTTCCTTGTGGGGCCCCTTTTCTACGATACTAAATTGTAATACAATGCTACATCAGTCATCAGCTGGGGCGAAGGCTGACTTGGTTGACAGGGTAATCAAAGTGAAATGGGACCAGATAGGGCCTGGAGATATCACACTCACACAAG